GTTAAAAAAAAAATCAACCTTCGCACTGAAATAGCTTTATTTTCCAACATGTCTTGTCAACAAACAAGTGATTCATTAGACTTTTTATTAACTGTTAAGGAGTGCATTTCCACTCAAATAAAAGGGTGCTACTTAATTATAGTCAGCTGAACTTCATTCATTTACACTTGCACTGAGTTTGGTCTTATATTTTTGCAGATAACATACTGTCCTTAGGTTATGTGCATTTCTTTACATAGATGTTTATTAATCAAAAGGAGGGCATGTGGAATACATCTAATCCAGACTCTTCTTTGCAGTCTAACGAAGTGGCTAACCCAGTTTATAATAAAAGAAATAGATTGAGAAAGAAACAAACCTTTCAGTTTCCTCACCTGTCAAGAAAGACAATGACTAATAGTTGTTACACTTTCCTTTGGCAGCCTGGCTGAGTTTGAAAGGTGTCTGATAGCACACTTGAGAAGATGCAGTGCATATGCTCAGAAACACTACATTTCAATAATACTTACGAGCAACTGACCACTTCACATTTCTACCTCAGGATATGTCATAGATTAAACAGCCCTAAGTTGTTCGCCCAGAAACACTGGACAGAAGATACTGATAATGATCTCTTCCCTGAATTAAAGGGCCTGTCATAACATAGATACTCTCCTGGTGGAAGTTCGTCAGTTGGAGGAGACACAAAGACAAGATTATCTGTGGGCACTAAGAACTCTGTGCTTTTCTATTCATCATAGATTAAACAGCCCTAAGTTGTTTGCCCAGAAACACTGGACAGGAGAAGATACTGATAATGATCTCTTCCCTGAATTAAAGGGCCTGTCATAACATAGATACTCTCCTGGTGGAAGTTCGTCAGTTGAAGGAGACACAAAGACAAGATTATCTGTGGGCACTAAGAACTCTGTGCTTTTCTATTCTGTTCTGTAATAAGCAAACATTAACTGGAGTGACACAACAAATTATAAACCATATAATTACATTTCCTCTGCCTACCCTCTCCCTGCATTTCTAACACTGCTCATCTTATTTCCTCACCCAAGTCATTTAGGAGTGTTGCGGTGTGCTCTTAGCAGTGGCTGTGCTCCAGATCAAAGGCACCTCCATTTTCATGCTGGATGATCTCATTTTTACTCAGCCTTCAGAGATGTAGTAAGCCTTAATTACTTTAACAAACATTTACAAAATACTTGGAGCTCTTTGGATGAAATAGAGATGCATATTTGTTGTTTAATAATATTTATACAAAATATTTTTTGTAAGTATTGGGCCAAATATCAACTCTCTGATTGGAAGAAATGCATACATTAATCTCCTTACCAAGATATAGGTCCCTAGAGCATAGATTTCAAAATCAAAATGTTACTAAACTTCTACTCTAGAAATAACCAGGGTCCACAAGACCAAAAATGTCAGAACTCTTCTGTTTTGAACTATGTTTTTCCTCTTAATGTTTTATTATCTTCTTTTTCTTTCCTTTTGTTTCATTAGTGCGGATGGCACATACGAAGTTTCGCTATACACAAATGCAATTGTACAGAACAATGGCAGCATTCGCTGGTTGCCACCAGCCATTTACAAGAGTGCCTGCAAGATTGAAGTTAAGCATTTCCCATTTGATCAACAAAACTGCACATTAAAGTTCCGGTCCTGGACTTACGATCACACGGAAATTGATATGGTGCTTAAAACTTCCATGGCAAGCATGGACGACTTTACGCCAAGCGGAGAGTGGGACATTGTAGCACTCCCAGGAAGAAGGACTGTGAATCCTTTGGACCCCAAGTATGTTGATGTGACATATGACTTCATTATTAAAAGGAAACCTCTTTTTTATACCATCAATCTTATCATTCCCTGTGTGCTAATTACATCCTTAGCCATCTTGGTGTTCTACTTGCCTTCAGACTGTGGTGAAAAAATGACTTTATGCATATCTGTGTTGCTTGCCTTGACTGTGTTCTTGCTGCTGATCTCCAAAATTGTCCCTCCAACATCTCTAGATGTTCCACTGATTGGGAAGTATCTCATGTTTACAATGGTACTAGTGACCTTCTCAATAGTCACCAGTGTCTGTGTACTCAATGTCCACCACAGATCTCCCAGTACTCACACCATGCCCCCATGGGTAAAACTGGTTTTCCTTGAAAGACTCCCAGCTTACCTGTTCATGAAGCGTCCAGAAAATAATTCTCCACGGCAAAAGCTGTGCAACTGCAAAAAGACAAAAGCAGAGAATCCTTGTATGGACCCATCCGACTTCTACAAGAACTCTACCTACTTTTTGAATACAGCCTCGGCCAAAAAATATGATATGAAAATCACTGAGACTCTTGACAATGTCAGCAGTCATCGAGATTTTAGATTGAGAACAAGCACGAAATTTTCTCCTGAAGTCCAAGAAGCAATTGATGGAGTCAGTTTTATAGCAGAGCACATGAAAAGCGATGACAACGACCAGAGTGTAAGTGAAAATGAGAAATCATCCCCATCTTTTCAAACTTCATCTCCTGTCCTCTTCTGTAACACACTGCTCTCCAGAAAGGCCATCTGAACTCCCTAGCTATTCTGAAGTTTTAAGAGAGAGATTTTAGCTATAGCTTATAAGAGGAAACATTTTTTTCCATTAAAATAACAATGAATTGTGATTTGGTAAACGCTGATACTCTCTTGGACAGTAACATGGCTATTTCTACAAAGAGAATGTTGATTGCTCAGTAAGTCATGAAATACTCTTGAAAAAGCTGTGTTGTCACATTCAAGTAGTGGTTGGCAGTGGAAAAAAATAATATTCAGTTCCAGGTCAGAAAAAGAATATTTTTCCCCACTGTATTCAGTAAGACTGTGACTCAACCCATGGCCAGGCCATGTTAACCAGAAACAATCTTCCTGCAGCTCAAGCATTTATTTACCTAACTGGGCACAGAAGGAGGATTTAGTAAAATTGGTAAAATGCCTTCGCAAACACCCTCTCTGTGCTAAGGTATCTGTCCGTAGATGGCAAACACAATGGGTAGGATTGAAATCCTAATGCCAGCAAAGCTGACACTTCTTTCACTTGAGTTAAATCAGACTCATTATTGGCTATGACAAGTACTTTATCCGGGATGCATTTAAGCAGTGCTGGTGCTGCCCTATTCACTTATTCTACTCATGTGCTACTAGGTAGCACACTAAAGCTGATATAAATACACTGTGAATAATGCTTGGAAAAACTCAGAAGGTTCAGAGTTCTGTTTAGACAAGCACCCATGGTTAGGAAAAATCATCTTCATACCTATCAGTGTCCTCTCTCTGACCCAGATCCCAGTCAGACTCTGGGTTCTCTATTCCTGTTGTGCTCTTCCTCCCTCAGCCAAACAGATTAAATAAAGTCTGGTTCTGATCTTGCAGGAGTCCCTTGAGGAGCATGCCGCTGAGTAGTTCATGTTTTCTATTAACTGAAATTACTGTCAATATAAATAAAGAAGATCAGCTATTAACATTAGACATGAGCTTGGAAACATGGAAACTGACTGAACAGAAGCAGACCTCATAGAGCAGAAAAAAGTTTTCTAATAGCTCAGAAATTCTTGCAAGGAACATACTGCACACTGAAGGATCTACAAAGCTTCCACTTGATATTAAGAAAATTTTCAAGGGTATTTTATACATTAAAAATTAATTGAATGCTTTTCACGCAGGGTCCTCTGATATTACATATCACTGCTTTCTAGATTAACAATTTTAATCTCTCCTTTCTTCCTTCATTATCACGGTCTGATAACAACTGTTCATGTACATCTAGTATAGTCTGATTTCAGAAGCGCACAATTCCCATTAGCAGCAGTGGAAATTAAAAGTGTGCGCTGAAGGAAAAATATGTAGTGTTCTAATATAAGACATGAGATAACTGACAAGCATGGTAAAGTCATTGAGGTGAAGATGTCCCATGTGTAACTAGAATCAATGAGAGAGGAAAAAACAATCATTCCTGAGATGCAAATGAAGACTGATACATTCCCCCTTTACAATAACAGTCACTTCAGTTGGAGAACAGAATCTAAGGCTGGTCTCATGACTTTCACAGACAACATATGCAAGACAAAAAAGGATTTTAATAAAGGCAACAGTATTAATATGCATTAAACCCCTTGATTAAGATGGCTGCTGATAAGAAAAGAACTCTGAAGCTAACCTTGTTTAATGGCAGTAAACACCATCTATTTTTGTCCGCTGAGATTAATAGCATCTGCAAACTAAAATTAAAGAAAAAAAATCCTTAATTGGATTATACTGTAGGTCCTTCCAGACCAGCTTCCTCCAGGCGGCCACACTCAGTACCTGATGCATCAAAGACAGCTACGAAATATTTACGGTCTTTTTTTCCACCACCCAGACTGGCTGTAGGAGAAAAATCCCTTCCCAAACCTAAACTCAGTTTGTTCCTTGAACCTTGAGATTTGTTTCCTTTTATTTTCATTAAAAAACCCTCATCGTTAGCAAGAGGAAGAGCAAAAGAATGTTACAAATTGCTAATATCTTTAATTGGCTTTTTCTTCCAGGTCATTGAAGATTGGAAGTATGTTGCCATGGTAGTGGACAGGCTGTTTCTCTGGATATTCGTCCTTGTTTGTGTCCTGGGGACTGTTGGATTATTTCTGCAGCCACTTTTTCAAAACCACAATGTTGCCATGAACCCTTAGTTGTCATTTAAAATTGTCAACACGTACATAGATGTTGGGTCTCGTTCTGCTCTCAGTTCCCCTCTCTTAAATCCACAGAGATGCCAATTGAGTTGGTCTTACATCAGATTTGGAGTAGGGAAATGGAAAGTAGAACTTGACTTATTGAGATAGCGAAAAAAAAAACAAACAGAAAACTGTTGTTTTTACCAATGAGTTCAGTACTTCTGGTGATATCTTGGCCCTTCTTTCAATTATTTTAAGTCTGAGAAAGGCATTACATTACAGAGAAAGGTGTTTACTCTACAATGCGCCATCCTGGCTCACAAGGATTTTTATTTAAAAAGTATTTTACATACATTGCTTCAGGAAGGACACTTTCTTTCCTTAGAATACTGCAATTTCCCTATTACAAAGAAGTTATTGCTAAGATATTTATTTCCTTCAACCACATCAAACTACTTGTGTCTGATTTATAAAGAGCTTTACAGGTGGAATCACTGTTTAGCTGTCTGAGTATGATATTTAAAACTGAACTGAGAAATGGAGACATACTTCTGAGGGAACCACCAGTAGGTTTCTCACCTTGCCATCTCTGATAGCTGATTGCTCAACAGAGGCCAAATTAATATATTATAAACAAACATTTATATACTCTGTTCAATGGTGAAATATAAATAAAATGCAAAGTTTTCCTTTATATAGATTTAGTCCTGAAACGTTCCTGCAACTTTCACAGCTCATGCAACTGGGGTTCACATACAGTCTCATGAATCTAAGAGCCCAGGAAAGCATTTCAAGAAGACAACTGTGAAACGCAGCAAGAATAAAGGGAAGACACCTGAGAACAGACCTGCATATTTTGCTAGGGAGATTTTAATGCAGATTTAATTATAATCCTCAACAAATTAGCTATGAAAGCATGTAATGCATGTACAGTCTTAAAGTCTATGGCAAAGGACAGATGAAAGCCCTACACACCAGTCACAGGACAATCCCACCACACTTTGTTCCAGGTAACTTGTAATCTGTAAAAAGAGAAGTGAGCTCCTGGTATTTTTCAAGCTAAATCAATCTCAGCTTTTCTTTGGGGTGTTGTCAGGATACATGACAAATTTACCACCACTGACAGGCATAACTAATGACTGGTGACCAAACTGTTAAAATCCACTACTATTTGTGAAGAAGACCTTAGGCTCACCTGTCCTAGGGAAGGATTAGCTGACACCTAAACCTGTGTTCTTCAACAAGCCACAGATGAAGTCACCTGCAGTTCTATTTGCCCTCATCAGAGCTAAACTACATCCCCACCTAGATCATAATTTCCAGGCAGCTACAGCTAACTGCAGAGATTTAGACATGCCACAACAGCTACACCAGCACCTTTCACACCATTCAGAGCAGCTCTGGGACCTTTGCCAATTCCTGTGTTCACTCCCTCCCTGTCCATGTCCTGAACTCCCCAGCACTGCTGCCACACACCCCCCTACCACATATCCCCACCCCTGAGGACTGGAAGGGTTCCCCCAGGGGCCTGGTGTGCAACAGCCTAGGAAAGACACAATGAAAAAGTATGAAAAGTGAGGTGGGTGAGGCTATATCATCATCACCAGCATCTCCCTTAGGTCGTGCACTAGAAGAAGGAATGGTTGTAACACCATCATCCTCCCTTCCATTCCCCTTCCTCTACGTGCTGTAACTGTGTCCATTGCTGAAGTCAAGGCAGGAAGGTGCAGGATGACTGTTGGACAGCCCTACTAAAGCAGGTGTGCCCTGTAACCATAGAAGCTGCCACATCCTCCTCTTCCAGTGGGTAGCAACGATCTAGTCATCTCCCCAAACATTTATCACTCTGGACGTTTCCCATGGTGACTGGTGAGTGGTGTAAAGTTTAAATGGGTCAAACCTGCTTTCCCCGCCTCAATTGTTTTCTGCTTCTCAAACCCAGAGAGCAGAGCTATTTCTCTGCAGGCAACTGAAACAACAGCTGTGACAGAAGAGGGGGCGCAGACCGCCCCACGGGAGCGAAGGAGTGTACCTTCACCCATGCAGGGAGATGCTCATCTCTGTTAGGTTATGTGCCAGGAGCTGACATGGCACACAACATGACAAGCTCACATGCACACACTGCCCCAGCTGCTAAGCAGCTTTTTCTGCTTAGAGACAAGCCAGTGGGAAGCCAGAGCAGCTGTCAGCACCGTGCAGACAGGTGAAGCCCCCGATAAATCCCATAATAACCCTGAACAGTGAACCTGAATGAGAGAGCACAGACCTCAGCACAGACTTAAACACTCTTGTGAGCTACTACACGCTCCTGCAGGGCAGAAGGGAGAGGGACTCACCCAGCCAAGCAATCAAGGATGCAGCAAGTCAGCTGCACACCTTGTAGTCCACCAGCTGACACTGGACCTGTGCAGAGCAGAGACCCCTCTTTCTGCTCCTTTAATCCAGTACCAACAGCATTTTTGGCTTTGTCCTGCCCTCACCTTCCTACCAATCATTACTCCTCTCCCTGGTCCCTTCTTCTTCTTATCCTTTTGCTCACTGCCTGAATGCAACTGAAACGAGGCTTCCAGTACTCCCATCTCACAGCTGGCCTTATCTTTATGAGCAGTAATGACTGATAACGCTGGGCTCCCTCTCTCTCAGCCTTCAGCTGAATTATCCCCGGCACAGGCAAAAGTTTTAGAAAGGATCTGGCAGCTCAGCTAGCAGCTAACACAGGGCACAGGCAGACAGAGGCCTCAGACTTGACAAACCCAGAAAAAGCTTTCAAAAGGCACATCCCTGGCCCCAGGGGTTTCCCTGCAGAACTAGAGCTCCTCATCCAAGAAACAGTGGGCTCTGGTGCTTTCCATACACTGTGGCCACCTTTTTATTTTTTTAATCATGAGTGAAGCAATATATCCTCCCTAGTTACGTTCTTGAAAACCACCACTGTATTTTTTTAGTTTCCAGAAATAACTCCATCCATAGTGAATTTCAGAACGGAAAATTTTACCCGAAGTCCTAAAATTTTGAAAAATCTGATCTCCTAAAACAGTAGTTTCAAAATGGGAAATGTTATTTTTGCCTAACCCTCAGCAGCTTTACTTACATAATACATAGAACTGTTCCCAGTTTAACTTGTCAAAGAATTTTAGGGTTTTTCTGCTTTGATTTTTTTTTGAAAAATTTCAAAAGTAAAAGATTTTAGAGAAAATTTAAACTATTACATTAAAAATGACAAAAAATGACATTAAAAATGTCACCTTGCAGGCTAACATGAATATGATAAGCCACTAGTTGATCAAAACCAACCACTTCAACATTTCTACTTTTCGTGTTTTTTTACAGCAATGCTTTTCATTAAAAAAAAAGAAGAAAAGTGGTCATTCAAAACATATTTTTCACTCACACTGATTTTCAGTGGCAGTGTGTAACTGGCCTTTGCTTCCCTGCTAGTGAGGAAAAGCCTCCGTTGGCTCCCTCCCCATTCTCTACCATTACAAAACTCTTTCACCCCAACCAATCCTGTCTTTCATCAGAAGACACAGAAGTGCAACCACCACCACACACATGCATGTACCATCTGCCTCCAGGTCAGTTTATTTGGGACTGTTTCTGCTCCCTTGCAGCCACAGCAAACTAGAAAGACCAGCAGTGCTTGTTTTTTATAGAAGGAACATCAGTACCCCAGACAAAGGTGGGAAATATTCTTTTCCCTCATCACCTGAGTTAAGATTTGATCTTAACAAATCTTAACAAAGCAAAACACCACTAAAATTGGCACGTTCATTAAAAAGCAAAGGCTACGTAGTTTGTTACTGCAGATGGCCTTGGGTAGATAGCTTCTCCCTACCCACACAAATTCTTCTTCTATGTAGTTCTGCAATGCAGTCGTGGTGATGTGTTCTTACCACATCACTCTCCATAGCCATAAAAAAATCCTGAGCTGATTTCACCAGGAGCTCCAGCATGTGATGTTAGAAACAAAGTATCTGTGCATACAAACACCACTGAAAATTCCAGTAACTAGGCAAATTAAAGCTGAAATACCTGTATCTCTTGATGCAATGGCTCTTTGCTGCCTCTGCAGATCGGATGTTTCCAAATTATTCAGGCTTAAGCACTGACTTTTGGGGAACACGAGTTATGATCTGATCTTTGAAGCTTTAGCTCATTTCTAGTTGGGACCAAAAAGAAACAAACAAAAATCTCAGTTGCAATGCTGCTTATACATGGAAACCAAGGCAAAAAGGGAAAACATCTAGTCTTAATGCGAGGCAAAAAAACGTAGCCACAAAGGGTTAAGCTCTTCCAGAGAATTCGACCAAGCAATTGAATTCTCTGGAAAAAAAAAAAAAAATCAAATGGAGAGTAAAGCCTATTTCCTCCAAGTTAATAGAATTACAGAAATTATCATAAGAGCTTGTGTCTGGGGATGGAGTGAATGATGCTCCGAGACACAGGGCAAACAGGATAAACAAGCTCTGTGCCAAGAGCAGCTGAGCTGAACCCGGTCTGATGCTCTTTCTCCCAGTGCTACCTCTTAACATGGTGCCAAATGGGGTCAGTTTATCCTTCCCTAATGGCAGGGAGCAAAGTACCTATTGAGTGCAGCCTCCTGTCCCACAGAGCTTCCCTCTCATCATTTCCAAAAACAAGGGTGGAATCCCAGTTTTCTCTCCCCCTCTCCTCCCTCGGCACAGACTGCCCAGATGTGTGCAACAACCACTGCGTGCATGAGCCTTGCATCACCTGGTCGTTCAAGGAGGATCAAGAAGTGACACAGAAGTGACACAGAAGTTAACAAGGAAGCTGATGGGGCACCTGGGGAATAAGCCACTTTGCAAAGCATGATTTTATGATTGAACTTCAAACACAACTCCCCAGTCTCCCCCATCTCCTTTCCCCTGAATAATAAGGTTTTGTGAAATTAACCTGGAATCCTGTGCTCTTTATTCCCCTTCCCAAATGTCACCTTTCTAACGTCCATCAAAGCAGGAACAGTCGAAAGAGTTATTCTCAAGAGCTGTGGTCAAGTTTGGTCTCCAGCTCAAACCCCTGACTCTTGCCGGATCCCAGCTGCTACATATACAACTCTGGGCTTAGATCCTGGCAACAGTTGTACGTCCCTCTAATTACTCCTGGGAACAGCACATCCTTTTTATACACTCAAGCACCTAGCACACGCGCTCGCAAGATGAGACACAGGCAGGAAAAAAACCTCAACATTTACAGCATAATTGGAAATTCATGTCCCATGATCTCAGTTCACTGCTAAATCAAGCGTCCCTAATGTCAATATCCATTTCAGCACAATTCAATTATAAGACTTTTATTAATTAAACTTCTCCTAGAAGCTTGGCATGGGCTTCTGATAGAGACAGATCCTGTATAGCAGCTGACTGGAAAAACCTTTAGCATTGTCAGATTACCAGGCACATTTATGCACCAGTTTAAGGACTCTTGTCTCTTATCCTTGCCAGAAGACTGCTCTTTGCCTACAATAACATCTGTTTTGCCTGCAATGTATTTGCTGTTTCGTGTGCTCTGACAGCCTGGGTAGCTAGAAAGGGGGCAGCACAGCAAACCTAATGGGAGCTCACTGCGCAGAACTGCGTTCAGGGTCCTGCCGTCTGCTGCTTCCAGGCATTTCACGCATCGGAGGAGCAGAGCTCTCTCTGCTTCCCATGCTCATACAATCCTGGCAGCCAA